GATCTAGCTGTGCGTGAGGCCAGGGAGCCCCTGTGGGTCTCCCTCATCCTGTCCACAATGCCCAGCCCAGCAGACGCTCCAGAAAGATATGCAGCTGGACAACACCATTTCCCCAAGATCCACTCCGTGCCTCAGATACATCAGCTTTCCTAAAGCACAGATCTGGTCAGTAATGTCCACAAAGGCTCTCTCCTGTGATCAGGACCAGCCCCTCATCCTGGCATCCAAACCTCCCCAGCACATGCCAACCTCCCTCACCCATCCATTCTCCAGTACTTCCCAACATGTACCCTAATGTGTTTGTCAAAATAGGTTGTGTGCTGTTTCCACACACATACCAAAACCTTTCCCAACTGCCTGAACTGCTCACTACCCATTTCCATACAATGAAGCTTTATCCACCCTTCAGACCCACCTCAAGTATTTTCTCCTTCAGGACAAATCCTCCTCCTCAATGACAAATGCCTATGACTTGTCCTCTTCTGAAACCCTTAGCATTGTGTGGCCCTTCCTGTGGCCTTCATGTCACCCATCCCACTGCTATGAGCCCATAAAGCAGCAACCTGGCAAACATCTCTGAGACACCCAGAGTGGTGAGCACAATGCCATGCAAATGCCAGCCCCTGGCAGAGGATGCCCATTGGCAAAGGGGTGACCACAGGGCAGGGGAGCCTTCCAGGAGAGTGTCCTGGGGCCTCTGGCCAGCCTTATGCACTGCTGATTGGCCAGGCACCTGCCTTTCCCATCTAGGGAGGACCCCACATCCGTGCACCAGGCACTGTGGCTCCACCTTGCTAAGGGCTGTTTTTATGGCCTGTTTAACAAGCCAGAGCCAAGTAGCTTGGAACCATGTGACACAGGAGAGGGAGGCTGGCAGGCAGCCTCTAGGTCCAACTGGGCAAAAAAATGTTTCCAATGGTGACAAACCTCACACCACCAGGAGGAGATAAAAGCCCTGTGGGTGTGAGCAAGGAGTGAGAGTGGCTGTGTGTCTATAAGGGCACATGGGCAGGCAGGTGTGAGCAGCAGGACTGGCCAGCCGGCCAGCCACACATGACCCCTTCAACAAGCAGCAGAAAGGAACACAAGCTCTGGGTGAGATCTGAGCCGACATGTTTCCCCAGCAGGGCCCCTGCGTTCCTCACCTGCAGATGTGGTGTGGGCAGCACTGCCCTGGTGGTGAGTGTTGGGACAACACACACAGGGCTCACCACCCCTCACCCTGCCCAGCCAGGCCTCCTCTAAGGGGCCCAGGAAAGGAGAAAGGAGGTCTGTCAAGTGGGCTGTGCCAGAGTGACAGGTGCACATTCAGGGCTGGTCATCAGAATGAGCATGAGGCAGGGCACCAGAAACCTGGGTGGGAGGCCCAGCTCACCCTACAGCTCAGAGAAGTGACCCGTCCTCAGCTCCTTGCTTTCTCTCCTGTCAAGTGGGGACAGCACTGTCCTGAAGCTCCTATGTGGTTACATAAGGTCCCTCTGAGAGGTCGGACATCAATGGGCTTAGAGAACAGCACAGACCCTCCCACGTGCAGACAGGCCACACTGGAGCTGGGGTAGTTGACACAGGCTGGCTTGTCAGGGTCACCTTTGGCCTAGTATTTCTGCCTGTGGGGAGTTGTCATAAGGAAATAATCCTAATTAGAGAAAACAATCTTCATCCATACTGAGATTAATCACAGTATAATTTAAGATCAAAGAAACAAACAGAAAGCATCTAGGTAGCTGAGAACAGGGAAATGGTAAAGTGAGCTAAGGTTTATCTACTCAATGGAACCATTCAAAACTTTTTCAAAGACTGATTATACTGATGAGTGACATAAACTGAAATGTCACAATATAGCTCTACTTGGACCATTTCTTTCATTTCTTTGGTTTAAATGAGGGTTTAATTTCACATTTTTATATATAAAAAATGACTCAGAATGCTTTACATGTAGAGTATAACTCCTACTTTGCCTAAATTTTGTAAAAGCTACATGTTGGGAAAATATTAGAAGAGAATCAAAGAATTAATCAAGTGATGATGTTTGTATAGTAGTTAAGTGATGACTTTTGTTCTATATTAATGTATTTTTCAGATATTGTTTTATGAATGAGTGCTACTTTCAAACAAGAAAAAGAGGTAAACATATTTTAAAGGTAGTCTCTGTACAAAAGGGTGAGCCTTACACTGCAGGGGTGGGGAGGGAGAGGAGAGGCACCATCACAGAGAAATAACTGGATTTCTGCGGCAGACATCAGACAGGACCTCCTGAGACATTAACTCGAAGGAACAGCAGTGTTTCTGATGAGGCATCCTGGGCGGGCCCAAGGGCTCATGACCCCACCCGCCACTCCATTCCCTCTTTCCCAGGGTAAAAAAAACACTGTGAAAGAACTGAAATAGTTAAGAATGCACCACTTATACAAAAACAAAATGATCAACAAAGCACAAAACAATAGTAATTTCTGTGATTAAAAAAAAAAAAAAAGAATACCAAAAAGGCAGCAATAAAGAGCCATGACAAACCCCAGACGACTCAAATGGTGCCTGGTACCAAAGCATCCTTCAGAAAATTGCAGCAGCTCCAAAGGCTCAGCCGGCAGGAGCTGCACAGCTCTGCCAAGTGCCATGTGTGCCGGACCACTCAGCAGAAACACCGCGGGCTCTGCAGGGAACCCAGGGCTGCTCCTCTCGTTTCATGACTATCAAATTGGAGTCACTCCTAACAACCATCTTCTTAGGCAGTGGACATCGGGCAGATGTAAAAACAAATCTCTGGCAACACAACTGTTGTTCGCCTAAAGAAGCCAAGAAAAGCCTCAGTATCTGGGTCTGTCCTGCCACACATCTTGAAATGGTTCCTTTCCCACCACCTGACACGGGCCCCGCAGAGGCAGGGACCACATGGAGAGGGACACTGGTGATCCAATCTACCACACGGACAGCCAAGCCTTGTCTCTGCACACATCGTTCCCACGGGCAAGGCAGGCTACTGGGCAAAACAAGGGCAGAGAGGCAGAGGGACTAAATCTTGTCACCTGCACTTCACAAGCCACCTTCCTAGTGCTGTGAGGCAGAAGCACCTTGTCCACCTCCAAGAAGCCCTAAAGCAACCTAGCACATGATGGGCAGAGACCCAACAGCTGATGAGGGAGCAAAGGAGGCAGAAAAGGAATATCAGGCATGCCCTGTCCAGACCTCCTGCTGTCCCCTGCTGGTTCTTCTGTCACAGTGTTTCATTCAAGGCCAATCCTGTGTACAGGACAACAGGACTGTTCAGGCCCCAAAGCCCCATCTACTTGAGACATTTCAGATCATGGGAGCCTTTGACCACACAGAGTCCTATAGCAAAGTCCAATCTATACAGTAACCAAGATGGACTGCCAGTAGTGGGGGTAGGGTTGGACAGAGAGCTCGGGCAGGGCTCCCACAACTACAGAACCCTGTAGGGGATTCCTGTAAGCCTAGACTTTGCCAGCACAAGCTGAAGCAGCTCACTAGATCAGGCCCCTCATTTCATAGCTGGGGAAACTGAGACCTAAAGAGACAAGTGGCTGAGCAAAGGCACACAAGTGGTCAGAGGCAGAGCCGGGCCCAGCACCTCTGTGCCTGGGGCAGGAAGCACCTCCTCCAGCCCGAGTGGCCACAGCACCTGCACCAGGCCTGCCCAGACAGCACATAGGGCCCACCTGAGGGGTCAGCAGTTCCTGCTACATGGAGAAGCAGGCCTCCACGTCATACTGACTGGGGTCTACAACCCCAATTCTGCCACTTAAACGGCCATGTTGCCTGGGCAAGTCAATCCTCTGTCAGCTGATCTGCAACCTCCCTGGGCTAGGGGAGGACTGGGTGAGCTGACAGAAGAATTATAAACGCCAGCACTTCTCCCCATCCCATGTGGTGAACTGTCTCCTATCACCTTCAGACTCCCTGCTCAATAGAGCTCCCTGAGCTTTTGCCTTTCAGCACAGAAGTTCAGAAGCCTCCATGGCACAGGAACCCAGCCTGTGGGGACCAAGCTCCAGCCTAAGTGGATGGGCTAGATTTTCCTGTATATGACAACCTGCCAGCAGGCACCCAGCTTCCCCTCCAGCTCCCAAATTTCTGGCTTACCAGGCCTCTTCAATAGTGGTGGCTCCTGACTCCCCATCTCACCTCCCATCTGCTTGGCCGGAGCAGCAGGACTCCACCAAACGGACTGGCTGTCCCCTAGGCTATCAGCTTTGGCCTAGTCTGGGAACTGCTGGAAACTCAACCAGTCACAGTTCGGAGAGCTGCTACCCTAAGACTCTGCAACAGTCTCACCCCTAAAAGGTTTAGGTCATGGTTCCCCATGAAACTGGGAGACAAAAATTCGGGGGCAATATGCAGGGTTCACTAATCAGTCAAGAATGGAGGAGAAGAACCCAGAAGCCTAGGACAACCCATGAATGAGACCCCCACCAAGGCTTCTAGTCCAGTGATGGCCAGACCTGCCAGCACTTCCAAAGAATCCTGACCTATTATAGACCAAGCAGTTGTGTCTCTTCTGCCCTGGATGGACTGAAGCACAAAGAATCCTTTGATTATGCACCACAGTTTCCAAAAAAGTCTTAGTCACAATTTGCCCCTCTCACATCTAGATTTGATTAAGTACAGGTTCAAACTAGAAAGAACAAGATTACAGACTTGGATGGAGGGTCGTCTAGAGCAACCTACCATCTCACAAACGAGCAAACTGCCTCCCAGAGTGGGGACTTTGCAAGAGTCAGAGCTGGGGTCCAGGTGCCCAAGGCCAGGGACACCACACTGCACAATATGTACTTTGTCCTTGTGAATGGGCACCAAGAGCTGTCCAACCCAGGGCCCTGCACTTGAGTCTCTGTGCAGGAAGCTGCTGGAGTGTGGCTGGCCCCTCACCCTCTCCCGCCTGTTTCAGTGGAGCTCTTCTCTCTGATATGGGCACCAGCAGTATTGAAGCCAGGGAAATGGAGGCAAAGGCTAAACACCAGGAGCTGCTGCCCCCAGCAGGTTACCTTTGGGCATGATCTGATGCATGGCAACCGAGAGGAAGAAGATGGAGTCGCTGTAGTAAGTTCCTGAGCCGGCACTGAAGTGCTTCTGCATGGCCTCCACGACAGGGAAGAGCTTGTCCGTCAGCACACCAACATCATGGAAGACGACCTGCAGCAGGGCACAAGGAAACCACAGGAGTGAGCAAACCGGTGGCGGACACCTGCACACCCAGGCCCACAGAGGAGAGACAGCATGTCTCTAGGGTTCAAGAGCAGGGGGCCCAGGTGAGAGTTCCAGAAATGGGGAACAATGAGAAACACAGTCAGCAGAGCCAGCTATGGGGACAGGAAAGTCATGTGGGAGGGGTGTGCAGGCACACATGTGAGGGGAGGGAGGAAGGGGTAGTGGAAGAAGAGTGGGAACGTGGATGAGGGATGGACACAGTCCCTAGTCTGCTTTCTCAGCTCGACTTCAAGCTGGGCTACCCTGAAACTGGAAACCATGTTAAAAATGTCTGGTCCTGAAACTCAGAACCCTCAGCAAATCTGGGCAGCTGGAACTGACCATGCACTACTACTCCTGGTGGCCACTAAACCTGCTCCACAGGCCAGTCAGACACTCCACCTTCCTCTTCCATCAGTGTGAACAGGGAGAGGGCCACTGGAAAATGGGACACAGTAAACTCATCCAGCAACCACCAGCATTTATTGAGGGTCCCAGACACTTTGGAGGTACTGTGAGAGGTGTAAGGAATAACAAGGCAACACACACCTCAAAACACTTAGGGTCTAGAGATGTCACCAACTGTTCAACAGAGCTCTGCAGTTTATGAAGCACTCTCACATACACACACAGATCCACACGACAACCTGAGACTTCAGTTTTGCAGGCCCACTATTATTGCTCCAAATTACAAATGAGAAAGCAGAGGCTCAGAGAGGTTGCACTTACCCAAGGTCAGGTAGCCAACAAGTGGCAGAGCCAGAACTCGAACTTTCTTTACTTTCTTTTACTTTGATCCCTGGTCTCCAGATTCCAAATTCCACACAATTTCCATTACAAATACATCCTCTTTCTTTAACAGGGACCAACAGAGGAAAACATCAGCATGACCAGTGATTAGAGTAGACAAGAGTACTAATAGGACCCTAATGAGTTGGTTTTCCTTGCTGGACATTATTCCAGGTTGTAAGTCCATCCCACAAGTAGTCCCAACCCTCATACAAGATACCAAATTACCATGCACTCTGCTCATATATGTCTTGCAAGTTTTTCCTGCTGCTCCATGCGACCTCAACATCTAGAACATTCCATTGCACCCAAAAGGCACTTGATAAATGCAGCCCATGCCGGAAGCCTGTATGTTCCTTCTCCTCCTCCATCAGCCCTCATAAGAGATCTGCTGCTGCCCCCTTCCGCCTCCCTCTTCCCTGGGAGCCAAGAGGACAGGACAAGCTGGCGAGGCTGCCACATGCTGCTCAGCCACCACCATACTGACTCCAGGCCAAGAACCCCCCCAAACAGGGCGCCAACAGCCAGAGGAGAGGCCACACGGGTCCCCTGGCTGGCTGGCTGGCATCGTCAGTGCCTCTACCAGCAGAAGACACAGGTGTCGGTGGTACCCGAGAAGCTCTTCAGCAAGTAGGCTCCATTTGATTTGCCTCTTACCTCTGCCCCATCCCTGTACTCTGCCCAGGGCACCTCCTGGCCATCCCATGATGTAGGGGCCCTGCCTGCACCCACACAGCCTTCCGTCATAAGACCCTTAGGATATCACCTCCCACAGCCCTGTCTGTTCTTCCCCAATTTAGGTTTTGCATTTGGACAGAAACCTGTTTTTGTCTCAATTCACTTAAGGGTTTGCTTTCTTCCTAGGTCTACTGAAATTTCTGAAACACTATTATCAAACTTAGGAAAGCTTTTATATTGTTTTCTTCATCATTCTCTCTTTAAATCTTTTATTTCTTTATAAAATTTCTTGCCATTTCTCTTCTAAGGTACTATTTTCCTTGATCCTTTTCCTGATTGCTTTTTTCTTTTCTTTGACTTTTTCTTTTTTGTGATCTAGAAACCTGAGATGGAGAATCCAGACCATTTCTGCTATTTCCCAAAACAAACACCAAAGTATGTCTTTTGCCTCCTACACCCATGCAATCGCCTCCCCCACCCCACCCCGTGACCTCCTGGCTGCATGGGCATCATGGACCCTGACAGGTTTCCCCTCTCCTGCCTCACCCTGCCTAGACCAGCCTCTGAGGCACCTCTCAAGTAACTTTGCAAATACACAAATTCATTTCTCTCTCCTTGGCTTTGAAACCTCCTATGGCTCCTCACTGCCCTCAAGTACCATCCAAACTACCCAGCAAAGCTTAGGAGACCCTGGACTAGTGGCTCTGGCCACCCTTCCCACCCTCTCCTCTGGGGATTGGGTAGAACTGAATCAAATGGTCCCCACCCTGCCCGCCACACCTTGGTGTCCTATGTCCTCGTGTGGTTGTACCTGCTCCGTGCACACACTGTCAGGAACCCCTCCCAGCCCCACCCCCACCTTGGAGCTCCCATTGGCCTGTTAAACTCCACCACTACTTTCAGCTTTGCTCAGACACAGGCTCTGGCCTTCCACAGCCTCCCATGACTCCTCACTCAGCCTCTGCACCCTCACACAGCGGGAAACTCCACTTCTCTGACTGACTGCTCTCAGGTCTTCATCTCCACATCCAGTGATGGCACACTTCTTGAGGCCAGAGGCTGTGACTGCTCTGAGCCCAGGGCCCAGCCCCTGACGGCATGACCGGCCATCAGTATAAGTTTGATGGACTAAGTGAACTGCACTTGGTCCAAGTTAAACTTCTCTGAGCCTCAAATACAGAAAGGCTAACACCCGCCTCCTGTGGTGGCCGTTGGAACTACCCGGGACAAGCAGGTAGAGCACCTAGCTCCGGCGCGGCCAGGCTGCACTTATTCCCAGGCTGCCCCTTGCCCCCCTACTCGGTGCCCTGAATTGCCTCTCCCCACAGATTGGTCTTCACTCAGGAGTCAGCTTTTCCCTCTGAACCTCATTACATCTCCAAACTACTGCTGGAAGCTGAAGTTTGACAAGAAGCTAGCAGCTGACAAGAGGATTCTCTCAGAAATGGAAGCCTCTGCATTCATGGAAAAAGGAAGAGAAAAAATGGATATGTACAAGCACGCATGCACGCACACACACACACACACACACACACACATTCAGAGCAGAGCCTGCTACAGCACAGCTACAGGAGAGAGATTTCAGCAGCCAGCTTATTCCCCCACAGGGGCCTCCATCTTATCCCAAAGTTTCACAGGAGACAATTACATTCCATCAGCATTAATGGGTTTATGAGGACAAACTGCACTTGGTACACTGTTTCAAATGCTGTATAGTGAAGCTCACTCCAATGAGTATTTCATATAATAAATCTGCTTAAAGATAAATTATTATGTTCCATGGAATACACTTCATCCAGCAAGATGAAAACCACAGACATGTTAAATGTGAATCAAAATACCCAGGCTTCCCAATGTCTAAAACAGGTTTGCCAGCCGCGGTCTCCTGGGGGCAGAGTGGGAGCCCAGCACACACTGAAGCTCCCAGCCTAGCCCAGGGTCTGGTGCCTGACAGGGGACAGGAGAGCAAGAGTGATGGAAAGAGAAAGAGGGACAGATAAAAGGCCACTACTCCCTGTTTATCCTTCCTTTCAAATCCCCCACCTCGAGGGCTGCAGAAAATCACTATATAACCTAGGAAAACGGGAATATAAGGTGAGTCCCATACTGAAGACAATCAGCCAATAAGATCCACCACTATTGTAACTTTTATTAACTTATATACATATGTGTGTATATATAAATATCCTATTAATTACAAAGTGCTATTTTTTCCACACCCAATTTACAAAATGATTTCTTTTTGAGTTCTTCATATGCATCTTCAACATTATTGTTTTTATCAACCCTAGAGTCACACTGAGTTGTCCAGAGCAGTTTACAAAACACATCATCCTCGTCATCCATTTAATGTTGGATACAACTCCTCATGAATTTATGTAGGATGTTGTCATTGGAAATGGTGTCTCAACCCACAAGGACCCACACTCAATTCATATCATGAAGGCAGTCAGTTTTTTCATCAGCCTATAATCATACATTTGTGGCCACTTAGTATCTTCCTTTTAGTAGTGATCTTTAAAAGCTCACTTATATCAATACTCCACACTCACAATCATAAGACCAAAACCCCAGGAGTAATGACTAAATCTGTGTTAAATTTCTTGGCCTCCTTTTATTTTTAATTACTTCTGTCAAGTGACTTCTAGAGGCACCCAAATTCAGTAATGACTGAGGGTTTTTCAGGCTAAGGTATTCTCAAACTGTACTATGTCGTTTAAAATAAAGCATGTGGCTGAGAGAGCACTGTGTAATACGAGACTCTGGAAAGACTCAGCTCTTTTAAAAAGGGCTATCTGGGGATCTGGGGATGGGGGAGAAGGGGAGCTTGCCTCACATTCACCACACACAGCACTTTCTTGATGCTTCGACAAGGGCAGGCCAAAGCAACCAAAATGGCAGAGCCTGGCAGGGGCAGACGTCTTTGAGAGGCTGTCCGTGGGATCACTGGCACAGACAGGCCTGGAGAGCCAGGCCACTGCTCCCCTAAACATTTCCTGGAGACATAAAGCCATGCCAAGCCTTAGTTCAACTTGGTGGAGAAACTCATTTATCACTTCGCAGGCCCCACTGGGAGTCAGGTCACACCATGCTCTTGGAGCCAAAAAGGGAGGTGGCAGGGACTGGCCCTGAGTGCAGGGAGATGCCAGGTTTCCAGGAAACACAAGGCCCACTTGAAGAACAGCAGCCTCTCCAGCCACAGAGAGCAGTGCAGCAGGAATGGTAACCTCGCCTCCCCACGTTCAGCCAGACTGTCGCTGGAGGAGCTGCTGAAGAGAAGAGGGACAGCACAAACCCCTGGGAGGCCCACCAAATCTAACTCTGCTGATGCACCCCACCACAGAAGACGTGGACTACAGGCCCAGTGCATAAGTGTCCACTTGCCCCAGGGGGCTGCCAGAGCTCTGGGTAGGAGGGCTTCTGCAGCATCTGGACTTGGCGAGAAAGTGTGCTATCAGCAGCGATGCTCCCCAGTGGGC